TTAACAAGCTCCTGACTGCTTTTCTGATAAGTGGCCTGCAACTTTATTTTCAGAACACAGTTTCAACATAAAGCGTGTATGAAGTGTCACTAAACATCGCTACTCACCGTTTGTAACATAACACGTTTTCAGACAGAACTATGACTTAATAATATTTTATAATCTCTCATATAATCAGAAGAAGTCACAGTAAATCTAAAACTCATGTAAGTGCTGTATATTCAGTGTTTTATTGTATTAATTTCCTCTCAACGAGGCCTCTCATTAGATATCCATCATTGACTCACGCATCACAGAAAACACTAATTTGATTACAAACCAGTGAAAATTTGCTTCTACATGCTTGCCAGCTGTGAATGCTTGGCACATAAAGTAACAACGGTGTTTATACACTACTACACTGTCACATTAGTAGGCAAATGTTTGTCCTGTAAACTTGTTTCAACATCAAAATATTTTGTGGTTATATTCATATGTGCCATAACAGTCACAGCTGACAAGCACTCAATCTAAATTGAGTCTTCCACTGGTAAAATTAAATTAAATTCAAGTCATGTTTATTGTGTGTGTGTGTGTGTATATATATATATATATATATATATATATATATATATATATACACACATATATATATATATATATATACACATATATATATATACACACTATACTGTATGTATCCATATACTGAATCTGAAGGTAAAATTTGTGTTTTATCACAAGGCTTGGAAAATAAATAAATAAAAACCACAAACAAATCAATTTCCTTCTGTTGTTACAAGGTCAAGGAAAACATGAAGCTAACACAAACTGTGTGGTAAACTCGTGTTCAACACCCGCATTGCATGTAGGACACAGCGTTGCCCACTGTTGGAGAAATTCTTCCAAAATATTGAGAGTTGCTAGTTCTCTGAAGAATTACAGACCCGGTGTGATGAATCAAGTCTCTTTACCTAATTCAACATGGAGAGAGGACCTCAGTATGGTTGTTTTCTCACAGACTTTCAGAATGCTTTACCTTATATACCATCGAGTATACAGAAGAACAATTGGTGACCTCCTTACCATTCACTGTTAATCAGAGATCAATGCTTTAGGCCTTCCTCAGTACAATGATCTTTTAATCTTACTTTTAACTCTTTTGACTGTCAGCCGATTCTCACCTGACTTCCTCACAACACAACAACACAACTCAATCTAAAATGTTCATTTCTTATACCCCACTGCACTGTCACACAGCCCTCTACTGTATCTTAAATGCTGCACTGTCAAATGCAATTGACAAACTATTTCAAAAGCAACAGTAATGTGTACATAGGCCACACCAAACAGCCATATTTTCTCTGTATATTCTTGGTCTTTAGGGGCTTCCAATTACCAGAAGTTACACATGGTTTCAGTCTGAATCTGAAATCTACAAGAAAGTTTACACAGGTTTCATGTTTTCATGTAAATTAGAACAAAGTGAAGCCAGCAGCTAGTGTGGAACATTTTGTATCACATTTTTTTAAGTATTGCAGAAATCTACTGTATACATTTTGTTCTTGATAATGTAACCATATTCAACAAAGAGGGAAATAATTGTAGTTGCAGTTTCAATCTGGATCCCCAAGGCAAGAGTTCTTAAGAAAACAAACTTATACTACAAAGTATAACAATAACACTGAAATGCTGGAAGGCTGTCGGGGGCTTAAAATTAGATTTAAAATGTGCCAGCGATGTGCAAGACAGCTAATAATACAGTATCTTGATGATTTTGTCTTTCTTGTGCTAAATAAACACAGACACTCTTCCAGCTTCACATCATTTGTGAGTGTATGAACTCGGCAGCTGATGTTTTGCAGCTTGAAAAGGATGGGACAGAAACCTTATAAAGCTGCCACTGCTGCAGTCCAACAGAGTGAAAACAGGCAGGTGTTATCAACAGGAAGTGTGTGTGTGTGTGTGTGTGTGTGTGTGTGTGTGTGTGTGTGTGTGTGTGTGTGTGTGTGTGTGTGTGTGTGTGTGTGTGCGTGTGTGTGCGCGTGCGTGCGCGTGTATGCGCGTGTGTTGCGCGTGCGTGCGCGCGTGTTACTAAGTCACAGGTTGATTGGTTTGAAGATTAAAGGTCCCATATGATACATTTAGGAAGATCTATTGGTATAAATTAAACATAACATAATAATAACCAGGTCTTCTACAGAGTTTGCCATGTTGCACAGCCATGTTTCTACAATGCAATTCAATTCAATTTTATTTGTATAGCGCCAATTCATAACAGAAGTTATCTCAGGACACTTTTCAAATAAAGCAGGTCTAGACCGAACTCTTTATAACATTATTTACAGAGACCCAACAGTACCACCATGAGCAAGACCTTGGCGACAAGGGCAAGGAAAAACTCCCTGTTAAAAGGCAGAAACCTTCGGCTCTAGGTGGGTGGTTGTCTGTCTCGACTAGTTGGGGTGAGAAAGAGAGAGAGAGAGAGAGAGACAAACAGACAGACAGGTGCACAGCAACAACAGTATTGGCAATGGCAATCTAGCAGGAAGTGGCCTAGAATGGACAAACCAAACACTGGCTCTGGGTAGGGCCTTTTGCCTTTTTGGTTTTTTTTACAAGTTTCATGGCCACCATAGTTTCTCCTACATGCTTGGAAGGGCGAGCTGAATTCAGTTGGTTGCAATCTGCAACTTCACCACTAGATGCCACCAAAAACTTACAACTGGTCCTTCGAGTCATTGTGAATGTGAGTGTATGTGCATGTGTGTTTGAGTAGCTATATCCACATTACTTTAGACGTTAGTACTTGGGTGTACAGATAAATGGATTGATGGTTCATTCTGGAGAATACACTGTTAAGTCACACTTCGATCACAATGACTCACCCCTTCTCTATTTTTGTACGTAATGTACCTCATCACCTGTGCACACTTATGTCTGTCTCCTTTGCACACACACAAAGTTCACCCAGTACCCAGTTTCTGTATGATGCATATTTTGCCACTTAACATGCAAGTAATTTCGATGGGTGTGTGCACGACAGAGAGAAAGAAGCGATTGTGTGTGTTATTTACAGCATGGGGGCTGCCTTTGGCGGAAACCTGAACACTTGAGAGATATAGCGAGGCGGACAGAATCTAAAAATGCCACGGCTGAGTGAGCAGGGGCTTAAGAAGAAGAAGCAGTGGCTGTCTCCACTGTCAAGCCCACTTCTTGGTCTTCAGGGCTGCACGCTGCTGTCTCAGAATGAAATATTAGGCCTTTTATAAGCAAACGGAAACAAATTCATCTGAGACCAGACAGCTAATTTAAAGTGACGGGTAGAACAGGGGTTTTTTATATCAGATATTGAACGTTTGATCTGTTTGGTGAGTCAGTGTGATGTAAAGTGTATGAAACAGCTATAATGGGTTCATGGAGGTATTGTTTGAGCGTCAAAATAAGCAAAAATAAGATAATTTGAGCTCATGAGGCATGAGTTGTATCCATGCTTGAAGAATGCCTCGGTTTTTGTTGACAAATTAAATAAAACGATTAATATATTGAGCAGTTTTCTAAAAATGTCAGAATTAATTAAAGTCAGCACAGACTGTGATATCACATAAGCAAACTGCTTTCACAGTATTTAAAATATTGTGACCTCTCTGGCCCTGACTCCAAGGTCACACATCCTGCCTCTCTCCACCCGTCCCACTTCCTGTACCCCTCTGTCTTTCTATCCCACATGCACAAACAGCCTCAGAGGACCATTACATGTCCAATACTGTCTGCACAAACTGGCTCCAGTCCCGGGCCTGTGGTGGGCTTTAAAGGTAAACCTGCCAGCAAATCCACTTTGCTGGCCACTTTACTTTCATCCACCCGCCTGTCCATCCATTCATTTGTCCACTGAGGCTTCAAACACAACCTTCTCTCCATTGGCACGGCCTGTGGTGGCACCTGATATGTAAAGTACACTACAAAGTGTAAATGACTGTGGACCGGGCTCAGCGGTGACTTGAATTGGCTGTTGATGACTCATAAAAAGATATATTTCCATTTGAAAAGGGGGCTGTTAGCGTTACTTGTTATTTACGGTCACTTAAATGGAGGCTGTCAGTGCTCTAACTCAGCATTCTTTATACCTAAAAAATCTTACTAAACAAAATTCTGAAAGGGCTCTAATTAAGATTTAAAATAAGCGCTTCCTGAAAAGAAAAAACCTACTGAAAAGAGGTTTAGAATGTCCTCAAAGAAATAAAATTACTTCCTGTTTCAAGTGAGCCCAAATTAGCATTGCCTGTACAAAAGAGATGTGGTGACCAAGCTTGTATGATGAACACTTAACTTATAAGATCTGCATTTCTGCACTGTGAGCCAAGCTGGGAGAAAATGACACCATTTAGTCAAATGTAAAGCTTGAGTTGAATCCTAAAGACTTGAATTGCCTTCGATGGCTCTCTACTTTTCAGCTGCAGTTCGCAGCCACTTCTCTCAATATACAATAGCTGCAAATAAAGGGCAAAGCTAGTAAGATTTGATCTCTGCGCTTCTATATATGGACGCACACTTACAAGCCACATTCACAGTTTTGCTTCAGTCACAGATGAAAACACGAAGCAAACAAAATACAGACTGCACGTTAGAGTGAGTAAACAGCGAAGTTCAGCAGCAGGTAAATGCTTCTCTGCTTGTTTCCTATGTCTGTATATGAAGGTATATAAAAAGATGCACACACAGGTTGCATGATCACCCACACATCTACGTAAGCAAGAAAACACACACACACGTGCATGCTGTCAAACACACACACACACACACCCTGACATACCAGCCTGTTTCCTGTGGGTTCTGCTTCCTGCATTTGTACTGCAAATACCAGACGTTTTTTTTCTACCGCTGAAAACAGATATGAGTGTAATTACATTAAAAGTCTCATTTCATATTGATCCGTCTGCACAAATAGCCATCTGAGCAAGAAGGACAAGATTATTTAATGTAATTTTGTCTTTATTTCCCCTGGGTTTTTGGTCGCACAGCGGAGAGGTGAGAAGCAGACAACACTTTGTGAGTACACGGTGTATGTTGCCTGCTGAGCATCCGAGCTAAAGAAACAGCCCGTGAGGGGGACAGTATTCACTTTCTTTTGGCCTGCATGATGATTGCGGGAACAGACGCACCAAGTAACACAGCAAGTACAAACTCAGGTAGTACACCTGGATTTTTCAGTTCACGTGTTTCTTGTAGGTTTTCATTTCAAAGGATTTCATTTTGAAAGCAAAAGTATTACAGGGAATTCATTCATTAAGACTGTGCATCGATTTTGTCTTTTTTTTTCCTCATGAGGGGCATTCTTCTTTTTGTTCATTTCAGCAGAAGTGATTCAGCTCGAGATTGTAGCAGCTATTATACAAGAGTACCATTAAGAAACATTTGTCTTTGTAATTGAATAAAATGATGTAATTTCTTTGGATATCGTCTGCTGTGACTAACATAATGCAATTGCCTTAGCTCCTGTGAATCATCACCACGTGTGTATGTCTGTGTGAGTGCACATTCACCATTGTGCATATGAATCATGTCGCACAAGTGTGTAATAGACTGTTTTGTGAGGCTCTTATGAACATTTACATGTGCATTCACATGGATCTGAAGGTATGTCCGTGCAGCTGTGTAAAACACTATGTGCAGCACAGCATGCAAGGCTGGAATTTGTTGGACTTAATGACTTACACTCTCACACTAAAGTCATCAGCACAAACTTAATCCTGCAGGCTAAATATGAGCGAGAGCTAAAAATAGTCCCCGTAGCTACAGTAACGTGTGTAGCAGGATGTGGTTGTGTGGTAGATGATAATGAAGAAAAGGAGAATGAACGGGCAGGAAAGAGAGATAAGAAAGAAGAAATGTATACAACAGGTGGTTTTATGTGCAAAAGAAGGAGAGATTTTTTAAAATCTTTTTTAAAAGCTCATCATTAAATGTAGAAAAATCACATTTTGAGTGTTTGAGGGGGATATTGGCATAAACCATGACTATAGTATATGCTTAATGGTTTGCTATGGTTAAGGAGATTTGTGGATTTATTATAATGTGGAATTGGAGTAAATGTTGTGTTCCTATTTGAATCGTTTGTGAAGCATGTGACTTTCTTTGTAACTTAAAACTCTTTGTCTTTATATTTGATGGAGAAAGGAAGTACAAGTTTAGACACTGAGACAGACAGATGGGCGCACACACTCAGTAGCTACATAGATGGTCTAAATAAATAGACAGCGCTGGCTAATAATGGATTGAGAATTTGATTAGAGACAGAGGGTTAAAAAAAAAACCACATGATCTAGCTCCATCATTAATGCTGTCTGTCCACAAAGCCTAATTACAACTAAATGCACTGTCCTCTCTCTCCCTCACCCCCTCTCTATCTAACCCCACACAATGCTCGACAACCTGAACAAAGCTTCCCTGAGGCCCCTAATCTAATAGAGCAGTCTCTACAAGATATCCCACACACACACACACACACACACACACACACACACACACACACACACACACACACACACACACACACACACACACACACACCAGCCCACAGAGAGGGTAGGACAGAGTCAGGAGGGAAAGATGAGGGAGTGATGAAGAAAATAGAGGACTAGTCAGATAAAAGAGATAAATTGGACTCTGAGTGAGGAATGACAGAGAGAGGGAGAGGCGCCCCCCCAAGTCTCCAAGGGCTGTTGGTGTGATGTTTATCATGATGGAGCTCTGATGGGACCTCATTGTTCCCTTCTTTGTGTGTGTGTGTGTGTGTGTGTGTGTGTGTGTGTGTGTCCGTGTCCGTGTCCGTGTCCGTGTCCATCTGCTGCAAGCCCCCTTTAGGGCCCAGCCTATTCTATCAGGACTCTGGTCTGTGTGAGGGTGCAGTAGAGTTAACACTCCTGAAGCAGTGTATTGATTTTTGGGTGGCTGTTCAGAGGAAAGGCAGAGAATGGTGCAGAGCTGTGTAAGACAGGCACAATGTGACCTAAACGCCAACAGTCATACTGTTCAAATCGCACCAGAAAACTGACCAACCAGACACGGTTGGGTTTTTTTTACTTCACTGAAGCCAGATTTTTGCAGGAGAGAAAAGAAGAGCAGGTTTTGGCATTTACGTACAGTATTACAAGTTACAGGTAGTTGTTAAGATTTTTGTCCTTGCATGAAGCTACTTCAAATGTATTAGCTAAAGTCTTGCCAAAGAACAATCATTGCATTTTTAAACCATTCATGTTTTAGGACAGCTTTTGGCACTGCAGAACACACCATTTTAATTGACCACCTCACACTCTGTGTTGGCATCAAGAACACATTTAATTGGTTCAGCTCATACCTCCTACATGGCATTTTCTCCATCGTTTTTGACCTACAACTCGCTCAGCTGCTCAAGTATAAAGTTTAAATTGTCTGTTTTCTGTGCTCCATGTTTGTTTTTTTTTTGCAGTTTTCATCTAAAAAAAACCCCAGTATTTCAGTGTGTCAGTAGTAACATATGTTTACTTCAGTCTGTCACAAATGAACAGTGTGCAGCTCTCGAGGAATACCTTAGTTGAATTAAATCCTAATTGAGCCTGTGTGACAAAAGCCAGACATTTGAGTAATTCTTTACAGACTAACAGAAAGCTTTGAACAGTCGAGGAGAGTATGCAGCATTATGATTCGTTTCGTTGAGGACAGCTGATGTTTAATAGAGAAAAAGAACAGACATAATTCAAAATGTTAAGGCGTTTAACTCATCACTTCCTAAATTGGATGTTTGTTTTTGTCTAACCAATGATATCAGACACATCAGAAACTTTATATGTAGTGTCCTGGCTCTTGCCACAGTACTTAGTGTCAGCAAGTGGTCTTATATAATGCTGCAATCTATCAGAGGAAGACAAGAAGAACTAAAGAGACAGGCTGTCAGAGACTCCAGGCTGCAGCCGTGCACCAACGCGCGCACACACACACACACACAGTTCTAGGTTTTGTGATACTTAACACACAGTTTCTATTCATACAATGATGTAAGATGTGCTTGGGGAGGCCGTGAATGTCCCAGAATAGAGTGATATTTTATCAAAAGTAACATCCCTATGAACATTAAAACTAACCTGAATATCCCTTATCATTATAGTTTTCAGATGTGATTAAAAACAGCTGACACTGCTTACCAATAAATGTTAATGTGAGTTAGAATATTCTAGAGTAAAGTTTAAGTGCTAAACATGAATGTACCTGTTGTTAGTGTCTCATGGACCAAAGCTATAGTCTCTGGTGTCTCAACAAGACAGCGTTGGTCACAGGAACTATATCAGCCATCCATAATACTGCAAACATTGCATGAAAGTGCTGGTCCCTGTTATCACTAGACACATTAGCAATAATAATGCATGGTTTTAATGACAAATTTCTAAAAGTTAAATTCAAGCCACAGGCACGAAACTTCAACGACAAATCATCAAATTCAATATTCTTCCTCCATCAACCCTGCCTGCTGCCACATTGAATAAACAAGTTTAGTGTAGACACACACTCATGTCGTGGTTCCTTATGGGACCAATGCTAGACCAAGTCTCTAGGTTGTCAGATACTTAACACACAGTTTCTATTCATACACTGATGTAAGATGCTGTGGGGACGTCAGCAATGTCCAGAATGAGATATTATTAATCAAAAGTAACATCCCTATGAACATTAAAATCTGTCCTGAATATCCTATTACCATTATGTTTCAGATGCATTTAAAAAACAGCTATTTACCTGCTTAAAGGGCATAAAAAGCAACAACCTGAGTTGTAGAAAGATCTAGAGCAAAGTCAAGTGCAACATGAACGCACCTGCTAGATTATGTCCCATGACCAAAGTCAGTCATCTGCGCCTACAAGATGGCATGTTGGAGTTTTTCCACAGAAATGACAGCACCAGCTACCCAGCAATACCTGGGCAAAGATTTGCAAATATGAAAAACAAGTTTAAGTCTGATGTTATCACTGCATAATATTTAGTTACACTAATGCATGTTCTTAATGACAAATTTCTAGTTAAATTCAAGCCAACAGGCAAGACGAAACTCTCAACGACAAAATCATCAAATTCAATATTCCCCCTCCATCAACTTCTGCCTGTTTTCACACATATTGAATAAACAAGCTTAGTGGGACATATCACACACCATGTCGTGGTCCTTATGGGGACCAATACAGACCAAGTCTCTAGGTTGTCAGATACTTAACACACAGTTTCTATTCATACACTGATGTAAGATGTGCTATGGGGACGTCGTGAATGTCCCAGAATAGAGTGATATTTAATCAAAAGTAACATCCCTATGAACATTAAAATCTGTCCTGAATATCCTATTACCATTATGTTTCTAGATGCATTTAAAAAAACAGCTTATTTACCTGCTTAAAGGGCATAAAAAGCAACAAACGGTGAGTTAGAAATATTCTAGGAGTAAAGTTTAAGTGCTAAACATGAAGGCACCTGTTAATAAAAATTTGCATTCAAAGGTTTAGTCATCATGTTTCTAATGTGACAGCATGCTGGGAGTTTCACAGAATGACAGCATCAGCTGCATTCATGGTCATCTGCAAACATTTCAAAATATGAAAACAAGTTTGGTCCCATGTTATCACTACATGAATATTGAATAATTAATGTGCACTTTAATTAATAAGATTTAAAGCACCTGGGCTGTCAGACACTGTAAACTGAACCACAAAATCATCACTCAATATTCTCCCATCAGTCCCCAGTTTGTTTGCCAGATATGATAAACAAGTTGTAATATATCCACACCATGTCAGTGGTCTTTAATACAATTGGGCCCTAGGTTGTCAGATACTTAACACACAGTTTCTATTCATACACTATAAGATGTGCTAAGGGGACCGGAACGTCCTAATAGTGATATTGAACTGCGCATCCCAAGAACATTGAAATCTGTCCTGAAATGATCCACAACACAGCTTTAGATGTATTTTTAAAAAAACTGTTTGATTTCACAGAAGGGCATAAAGCAACAAACGGTGAGTTAGAAATATTCTAGGAGTGTTGGTGCTAAACAAGAAGGTACTCAACATTAGTGCTATTCAATGACTGCGCTTAGTCGGCCCGCGCCTTTCAACAAGACAGCATGCTGAGTTTCCATTAGAATGACAGCATCATGCATCATATC